TAATAAGAAATAGTATTTTAGATAAAGGTTAGTTCCCAGAGTCAAGATGTAATCAATGGAGTGGCTTTTCAGCCACAAATGGTTCAAAAATATTTTTTTCTGGTTTAAGAAAGGTTAATAGGCAGTAATAGATAGGGGAACATAATCTAGGGCTACAATTGACAGTCATTTGCTCTGAAATAATCCATGAGATTCCAATGGAATTGTTTTGAAGTAATTGCTGCCAAATCCTGGATTGTTTCAGGCTTACTGGGAACCCTCATTTTACAGCGAAGGGAGACAACATGAAAAGTAGTAGCAGGGACTTAAATTACATTTTTTGTAGTCTTTTATTTTTTCTTACCTGGTACTGAAGTTCCCAATGCAACAAATACGACCGCAGTTACAGAGTCCTTCAGGCCAATTGTGCAGCCAAAATGGGATGCCAAATCCCCAATGAAAGCTGTGAGAAGGCCAATCATGATGATGGACACTACAAAACAAGCCCAACCATTCCAGTAGTCTGTTGGGGGAACAAAGGCAAAAAAGACTTTCCAGAAGACGGTCAGAAAGTGCATCACATAATCAAAGCAGGATGGTAGCTTCTCTTCGCCACATTCATCATCATCATCATCCTCTCCTGAAAAAGGAAAGAGAGAGGAAGGGAGGGAGGGAGGGAGGGAGAGAGAGAGAGAGAGAGAGAGAGAGAGAGAGAGAGAGAGAGAGAGAGAGAGAGAGAGAGAGAGAGAGAGAGAGAGAGAGAGAGAGAGAGAAAAGTTGGTTCATGAAGGATGGTTCCCAACTGTAAGGCACAAGCATAATTATCATAGTTGCCTTTTTGAAAAATGAAATATATAACAGTTTAATAAATATATCACTTAGAGGGAAAGGCCACTGTACTTTTCATTCCTTGTGTAAGAGGAAAAAAAGCATTTTCCACATCATCACCGTTCTATAATTTTATAAATATATTTGTTATATTATTTCATTGAGTTCTCTTTTACATTTTTCTGAACTAAAGAAAATTTTAAAAAGTGTCATGGGGAGTTTGTTTCAACTTCCTGATCAAATTGTTTTCTATCTTCTATACACTTTGCATTTATACCAAATTTGTCTTGAGTTTTAATTTTTCTTATTAACTGTATCTGTTGTTATACTGAGGGAGTGCGGTGGCCTAGTGGTTAGGATGCTGGGAATGTTTCGAGACCCAATGACCACATAACGGGGTCCTCCTTTGCCTTTCTTAGCATTGCTTCATTTATCATTTCCTGCTGTTTAGTCTAAACCAGGGGTAGTCAACCTTGGCTCTTTTATGACTCGTGGACTTGAACTCCCAGAATTCCTGAGCCAGATTGACTACCCCTGGTCTAAACTAACTGGTTCCAGCAAAGGTGTTTTATTTTTAAATGCCATGTGAATAATATTCCTGAACCAGGAGTGCATGAGTGCGGTAAGAAACGGTTTGCCCTCTTCTTTGATAACACCAAGGCTATGATTACTAGTGCCTGATTTAAAATAGCATAACTATTTATTTTTCAGAGCTTAATCTAGGAAAAATATACTGAGTACATAAAGCAAAGTGATTCCAAGGCAGTCTCAATATTAAAATGACCACACATGCCACCTTCTTTATGGCCCAGATAATTGTAATACATTCAGGAGAGGCCCCAGTTGAAAGATCAAAAGTATTATTTGAGAATGCTGGTGGGTACCCTCCCAAAGCCGGTTATTTCCTTTGATAGTTTTCCTCTAGCTGAGCTTATTTTGGGACTAAAGCCTAAGACAGTGTTATCTGTTTTGCTTGATCCTGTAGGCTTCTGGAAATATGACTCATCAGAATAGGCCACATTTTCCTCCACATATTACCATTTCTCAAATCACTGTGAATTATCTACAAGTCTTCTGATTACTTCTCTATTAGTAATACAATTATGTAACTAGATGTTTGTTGTAGAACATTTTGATTCTTTTGGTTTGCACCACCTGATGTGCTATTTATTCTTAATGTGCACTGTATAATAATCTCATAAAAGGCATGGAGCAAAGGAGCGCCAAACAGCTGCTGAAGACTGAAGCTTTTAGGTATCCTTGCTGTGAGATTGCTACATTTTTCTCAACAAAGAAACAATCCTTTTTATTGAGAAGCACCGAAGAATGCCAGGGAGTGCTATCTTAAATGCAAGAAAGTTTGCATTATGGAAAGAAACCCAAATGGTTTCCTTTTGTTTCCTATTAATGAACATCAGCAAATGGCTTTCTTGACATCATTACAGAAAAAAAATAAGAATTTTATCAGCAAGCTTGGAATAAGCAGAAATATTGTGGATGCTTCACTACGCATTAGAGTATGGATATAAGAGAAATTATCCACACATTCAATAGGGCTCTGTCAAAATGGAATCCACCAACAAAAACCAATGAACACAGTTTTCTTGTGTCTGTCATCCTCTGCTCAAATGTCAATCTATGGTTTGTATGTGGATGCTTAACTCATCACTTGCTCAGTATTCTTATTTTCTCCCTTAATAGCCACTCCCTGCAAGCTATTTTCAGTTCTGGAAATAAGTCTAGCTTGGGAAAAAGTATTTTGGGAAAAAACAATGATTGCCAGGAAAGAGGTGGATAATATAAAGGAGAACTTGCGACTAAGTATGAGAGATGCCAGTGTAATGTATAATTTAATTTTGGCAAGTATAAGTTAAAGAGAGTTAATTTATTGATTTAATAGCAAAAATCTACCCATAACATTTATTAAAGATTTACTAAATATAACAAATTACAATATTTATATAATTTGATTTGATTTTGATTTTATTAAATTTATACCCCGCCCTTCTCCCGGAGGACTCAGGGTGGCTTACAGCCAGTTTAAAACAATGGTACAGTACAATACAAAATTTAAAAAAGATTAAAAATAACTATTCAAATTTGGCCGCTTCTACTAAAAATTTAATTTAAAACCCCTTTAAAATACCCCTAGGCCAGTCCTGCCTGCTGAAATAACCAGGTCTTAAGGGCGCGGCGGAAGGAGGGGAGATCCGGGATCACCCGGANAATACAGACTGCGTACGATCGGTGAGGAAGGAGGAGAACCACCGCATAACCGTGCCTCCCACTCCCAACCCACCCAAACGCCGCAGCATGATACTGTGGTCCACAGTATCAAAAGCCGCTGAGAGGTCCAAAAGAACTAGGACAGAGGAATAACCTCTGTCCCGGGCCCTCCAGAGATCATTTACCAACGTGACCAATGATTAGTATGTTTTTAATTCTCATCTTATTTAATTCTCCCTAAAGTTAAAACTAGTAAAAGGAAAATTGTCTAATAAGTTCAGGGATGGGAAAGACAAAGTACTGATTACATGAGATTAAAATGATATGTTCAAAAAGAAATACTACTGATATAAAACAAGTAAGAATTGGACGTAATCATTGCAATTGTCTTTTGCGCAAGCTTTTTCATTGTAATCATTCTGGAGAAACTAGGGAAGTTAATTTAAGTTATTTAATCCTCTTAATTTTAATTGGTTTGTATTATCTTTTAAAAATCTTTTTATCACATTGTAAGCCACACAGAGTTGCTGTAATAGTGAGATGGGCAGTATATAAATTTAATAAATACATAAATAAATGAATCTTATGACCTCTATTGTACACAGAATCATTATTCTGCTTTGTTTTATCTCTTCAGCCAAAATAGTTTTGTAACCGTAGAGTTAATATACTAGAAGAAATCTGAAAAGCTTCCACAAACGCACTATGTTCTTAACAGATAAGATCCAAATGTATATGTGACATGTTTATATGGAAAAGTGTTTGGATAGAGTGTCAGCAAGCAAACATCCCTGACATTCCCATGTGCAGAAGGCCATTGCTAAATGACAGGCTGTATAAGTCAGGAAATTATATGATTAATATTTTCAGGTATGTGTATAGTACAATTTAATAACATTGTAATGTGTAGTTTTAATGTTTTAATTATTTTTATTTGTTTTATGACTTGTAAGTGCCTAGAGTCATCTTGTAGGGGAATGGACAGCATACAAATGTCATAAATAATAAATAGATAAAATAAATAAATGTATATATCTTCCCTAGTTTATGTGCAGAGAAATATGATCTATAATTCCACTGCTGGGGACAACCTAAAAATGCATCAGGTAATCAGGTGTTCTGTTCTTAGAACCATTTATTGGTCTTGTCTCAGTGAGTTTTCTTCTGTCTTTAAGTAAAATTGACTAAGCCTTGCCTGAATCCTTTTCCCCTTCATTTTGCTATATACAGATAAAACATAAGTGGCACTAAAAATTTATCTTCCACAGAGTTAGGCTCCCCAACCCATAGGAGGCAGATTACTATTGTTCTATCAGTTCCCAAAGTAATCTTTAGAATGATAGAAAAAAAACTATTGCCTGGATGCGTCATTGGGTCTGTGAAAAGGAAGAAAAAATTAAACCCCCTTTCCATACCTTGCATGGACCCTATTGTGACTGGATTTCATGATCATGACTGTTTGCTTTCTAAAGCAATAAACAATTGATACTGTACCTCTCTATATCACTTTTAGATACCAAAACCTATTTAACATCTTGCTTTATTTTGATTCTGTAGTTGTCCTTTTATGATTACTTAAAAATTGGCAACTTTATGTGAATGTATCACTTCCAAATAACTAATGTAATAAGAAATAGTATTTTAGATAAAGGTTAGTTCCCAGAGTCAAGATGTAATCAATGGAGTGGCTTTTCAGCCACAAATGGTTCAAAAATATTTTTTTCTGGTTTAAGAAAGGTTAATATGCAGTAATAGATAGGGGAACATAATCTAGGGCTACAATTGACAGTCATTTGCTCTGAAATAATCCATGAGATTCCAATGGAATTGTTTTGAAGTAACTGCTGCCAAATCCTGGATTGTTTCAGGCTTACTGGGAACCCTCATTTTACAGCGAAGGGAGACAACATGAAAAGTAGTAGCAGGGACTTAAATTACATTTTTTGCAGTCTTTTATTTTTTCTTACCTGGTACTGAAGTTCCCAATGCAACAAATACGACCGCAGTTACAGAGTCCTTCAGGCCAATTGTGCAGCCAAAATGGGATGCCAAATCCCCAATGAAAGCTGTGAGAAGGCCAATCATGATGATGGACACTACAAAACAAGCCCAACCATTCCAGTAGTCTGTTGGGGGAACAAAGGCAAAAAAGACTTTCCAGAAGACGGTCAGAAAGTGCATCACATAATCAAAGCAGGATGGTAGCTTCTCTTCGCCACATTCATCATCATCATCATCCTCTCCTGAAAAAGGAAAGAGAGAGGAAGGGAGGGAGGGAGAGAGAGAGAAAGAAAGAGAGAGAGAGAGAGAGAGAGAGAGAGAGAGAGAGAGAGAGAGAGAGAGAGAAGTTGGTTCATGAAGGATGGTTCCCAACTGTAAGGCACAAGCATAATTATCATAGTTGCCTTTTTGAAAAATGAAATATATAACAGTTTAATAAATATATCACTTAGAGGGAAAGGCCACTGTACTTTTCATTCCTTGTGTAAGAGGAAAAAAAGCATTTTCCACATCATCACCATTCTATAATTTTATAAATATATTTGTTATATTATTTCATTGAGTTCTCTTTTACATTTTTCTGAACTAAAGAAAATTTTAAAAAGTGTCATGGGGAGTTTGTTTCAACTTCCTGATCAAATTGTTTTCTATCTTCTATACACTTTGCATTTATACCAAATTTGTCTTGAGTTTTAATTTTTCTTATTAACTGTATCTGTTGTTATACTGAGGGAGTGCGGTGGCCTAGTGGTTAGGATGCTGGGAATGTTTCGAGACCCAATGACCACATAACGGGGTCCTCCTTTGCCTTTCTTAGCATTGCTTCATTTATCATTTCCTGCTGTTTAGTCTAAACCAGGGGTAGTCAACCTTGCCTCTTTTATGACTAGTGGACTTCAACTCCCAGAATTCCTGAGCCAGATTGACTACCCCTGGTCTAAACTAACTGGTTCCAGCAAAGGTGTTTTATTTTTAAATGCCATGTGAATAATATTCCTGAACCAGGAGTGCATGAGTGGGGTAAGAAACGGTTTGCCCTCTTCTTTGATAACACCAAGGCTATGATTACTAGTGCCTGATTTAAAATAGCATAACTATTTATTTTTCAGAGCTTAATCTAGGAAAAATATACTGAGTACATAAAGCAAAGTGATTCCAAGGACGTCTCAATATTAAAATGACCACACATGCCACCTTCTTTATGGCCCAGATAATTGTAATACATTCAGGAGAGGCCCCAGTTGAAAGATCAAAAGTATTATTTGAGAATGCTGGTGGGTACCCTCCCAAAGCCGGTTATTTCCTTTGATAGTTTTCCTCTAGCTGAGCTTGTTTTGGGACTAAAGCCTAAGACAGTGTTATCTGTTTTGCTTGATCCTGTAAGCTTCTGGAAATATGACTCATCAGAATAGGCCACATTTTCCTCCACATATTACCATTTCTCAAATCACTGTGAATTATCTACAAGTCTTCTGATTACTTCTCTATTAGCAATACAATTATGTAACTAGATGTTTGTTGTAGAACATTTTGATTCTTTTGGTTTGCACCACCTGATGTGCTATTTATTCTTAATGTACACTGTATAATAATCTCATAAAAGGCATGGAGCAAAGGAGCGCCAAACAGCTGCTGAAGACTGAAGCTTTTAGGTATCCTTGCTGTGAGATTGCTACATTTTTCTCAACAAAGAAACAATCCTTTTTATTGAGAAGCACCGAAGAATGCCAGGGAGTGCTATCTTAAATGCAAGAAAGTTTGCATTATGGAAAGAAACCCAAATGGTTTCCTTTTGTTTCCTATTAATGAACATCAGCAAATGGCTTTCTTGACATCATTACAGAAAAAAAATAAGAATTTTATCAGCAAGCTTGGAATAAGCAGAAATATTGTGGATGCTTCACTACGCATTAGAGTATGGATATAAGAGAAATTATCCACACATTCAATAGGGCTCTGTCAAAATGGAATCCACCAACAAAAACCAATGAACAGAGTTTTCTTGTGTCTGTCATCCTCTGCTCAAATGTCAATCTATGGTTTGTATGTGGATGCTTAACTCATCACTTGCTCAGTATTCTTATTTTCTCCCTTAATAGCCACTCCCTGCAAGCTATTTTCAGTTCTGGAAATAAGTCTAGCTTGGGAAAAAGTATTTTGGGAAAAAACAATGATTGCCAGGAAAGAGGTGGATAATATAAAGGAGAACTTGCGACTAAGTATGAGAGATGCCAGTGTAATGTATAATTTAATTTTGGCAAGTATAAGTTAAAGAGAGTTAATTTATTGATTTAATAGCAAAAATCTACCCATAACATTTATTAAAGATTTACTAAATATAACAAATTACAATATTTATATAATCAATCAGCTTGTTCAAGAGAATTACATTATAAAATATTCTCCCTACCCTGTCCTCCAGAAGTTTTAGATTGGAACCCTTAACATCCAGTTAACACGACTATGAGTTATAAAAATTTCAACCCAGCATATGTGAGAGGAATCAGGTCAGGGAAGGCCACAAGCCCCAGAAAAAATATACAAAAACATGGAGCTGAGAAATAGCAGGATTTGGTTTAGCAAATTGAGAAATATTGTCAAATACATTATTTTGAGAACTACATATCAAGACATCCTCTTTGAATTTCTCTTGACAAGCAGGTGGGACTGCTGTGGGGTTTGCCATGCCCTGCATGGACACAGCTGAACTGGATGCAAATTGAAGGTTTACTATGGCTCTATAAATGAACTTACTGTCTTTTCTTGGTGGATGCATACATAAACCTCAAAATAATTTTGCTAGATCACTTTTCTTTTCTACTCAAGCCCCAATTTGCTTTTTTCTTTATTGCTAAACTGAGAAATTGGTATCAGATCTTCCCTATCTGTATCTCCTTCCACTGAAGCGGGGTGGAAAGAGAAGCATCTAATGGTGCAAGCTAGCCATGGAACTCTTCAGTATGGCAGTGTGGCAACATAATCAGTCTAAGGCTTTGTCTTAGTAGGCAAAGAGTAGGATTCTCACTACTCTTACAATCTTTCCTCTAAGCATTGTTGATCCTATTTTCAGAAGACAATTTTGACTTGCTTTGTTCTTATGTAGGAAAACCAAGATACAGTAAATATTCTGTTCATTTGTTTGATTTAAATGTTTAAGCAGAAGTATAACTACTTTGTGATCCTAAGGTTTTCATCCTGTCTGACCATGGGAACTGCCAATTGTGTACCCCAGCTACAGATGAATGGATTGGGTTAGAGCCAATTTAAATTCTTGAGTCATTTTGTACTGTCATGTTGATTTAAGTTGTCCTAAGATCAGAGAGCACTCTGAGGGATAACTAGAAAGGGATTATTCAAAATGCTTTAAATAGTTTTAAATTGCCAATCACTAAGATTGCATGTATTTTTTAAAAAGAACATTGCGTGAACAAAGCTTTTTGATATTTAATTCTCTCAGAGCACTTTATGGGAGGAGATGCAGAATAATAAAATGTCCATTAGGAGAATCAAACACTATGCTTTTATGAGTAATTTAGTGCATTGGTAAATATTAAAAGATCTTAGTATGATGGTTCCCTGGATATTTAGAAACTAAAGTTTGCTGTAAATGGTTTGGATCTATAATGTAGCCCAGTGTTCTTCAACCACATCAACTTTAAGATCTGCGGATTTTATGTGGCCAGCATGCCCTCTGATCCTTGGAGAAATGGCTGGGCATTGTAACAAAATGCTTATTGGAGGCCTGTTGCTACTGCATTATTTGTCCTATAGTTATAAAGAGTCTTTTTGGTTAGTACTAATTCATGTTAACTCTGATTAGTTATTTTATGACTTAGGGCAGGGGTGTCAAACTGTCGGCCCACAGGCTGACACATCATCCGGAAGCTGTGCCCACCCCATCGCTGGCAATGGCAAAACGCCGATACGTTGCATGATGTCATGTGACGCCGTGAGTTTGACATGTGTTAAACTATGAGTTAAATAAGAAGCTTACATAAAAAATTAAAAGTTGATCAAACACAGCTGCTGAACTGACTAGCATAATGCACTCTTGGGGACTAAATGTGTATTGTTTACTTACTTAGCAAAACTGGTATTATAAAGTATATGAATACCTTCCTTTTTGCTTAACTGTTACACTATTTAAAAACAATATTTTAAAAAATCCAGTGTTGCTCTCCTCATAAACCATTTGAGTAATAATTGCTGATGAAGTTTCTTGCTGCTGAATAAAGTACAAAGACCAAAATGTGTTAATTAAAAAAGAGCTTTCCAGCCAGAAAAACAAGCCTTTAGAAAGAAGTGCCATTTCTGAATCTCATTTAGAGGATTTTGGGTGGGTCTTATGGAATATGACTCCTATTCTCTTTTGGATAAAACAGTTTTCTTCATCTTAGCATCCTTCAGATGCTATTCCTGGAATCTCCAGCCAGTCCCTATCTTAACTTACTTTTTTTCTTAGAGCAGAGTGGATTTTTGTTTGAAAAATTAGGATATGCCAGATTAGGGAATAGAAAGGCCAGCTTTCTATAAGCATTATCCAAATTATTGCAATCATATTTAACAAAAGAACAGATAAACAGCAAATTAAATCATTGTCTTTCAGACACATACTGCTTGGGGGAAAAAAGAAATACTGTTAGAACAAAAATTTCAGCTATAATTCTTGTACAAAGAAAATGAAATATAGTCATTTCTCCAGGGGTCCAGTCAGAGATGAGAAATAGCCCAGAAGCTAACTTCTGCAAGATTAAAAAATCCCATTTCTTTTTTAAAAGAATCTCTTCTATTTCTTTTTCACTGAGTTCTAGTGACACATGGCTTAATCTTTCACGAACTATCACGTGGCTTGGAAACATCTAGAAACAGTGACTAATAAGCATTGTAATAAGATAATGGGTTGCATTTTTCAATTTAGATTGATAAAGGTCGATATTAACATAGGCATCTACTTTAACCTGGCATCAAATAATATTTTAAAATATTAACCAGCTATATTGGCTTTACATAAGCTAAAAACATGAAACATTCTATTGGATCAGACCTAAGGCCTATCAGAGCCAGCTTCCTGTTCCCTGGAACAACCATCAAAATAGTACATTGCTGGTACCTGGTAACCCAGATAATTTGTTTTATAAAAAATAAAATACAAAATCTGATTACCAGATCATTGTGACCAAAAGGACCAATTATCTATTCCTTAATTTAATTGCCAGAGTAAGTCTGAAATGGAGCATGATTG